CTTTTCTTTTCTGTAACTAAAGTTTATCCAACCAAGATTTAAATGTATTCGTTATTGTTACCATATATTTCTTTGTGATGCATTGATTTTTCTTTAATTTATTTTTTGACTTTCATTCCATACCTGTTGATTGAGGTAAGTGATGCATGTCTGAGATTTTGGAGCACATATGGGTATTGCTTACAAATGATTTTTTCCTGTTGGTATGAGCTTCTTCAAGAGTTACTGGATTTTTGTGGTTTTGCAGCTATAAGTGTAGATCCCAGTCGCGAGGCAGTAGCTCCTATGATGAAGGTGCGGAAACATCCTCCTAGTGCTAGTCGTGTGCAACTTCCTGATGGTAGATTCATGGCTTATCATGAGCAAGGTGTTTCCTCTGAAACAGCTAGATTTTCAATTGTTGCTCCGCATTCTTTTCTTTCGTCCAGACTAGCAGGTAAAACGAGTTGAAATTTTAGGCACCAGAAGAGCTTTTTGGGTGTGGAGCAACTAATCTTATTCTACTTTTTGGCAATGGAAGGTTTACCTGGAGTCAAATCATCGTTGCTTGAAGAGTATGGCATTCGCTTCATCACATATGATCTTCCTGGTTTTGGGGAGAGTGATCCTCATCCCAACAGAAATCTCAACTCATCAGCCATTGATGTTCTGCATCTGGTCAATGCTATCAATGTTAGTGATAAGTTCTGGTTACTGTGCCACTCCACTGGATGCATTCATGCTTGGGCTTTTCTCAGATATGTTCCTGAAAGAATTGCAGGTTGTACATCTTTTTAAGCTTTCTATTTTCTAGATACCTATAAGTTGCTCGTAAAAATTCCTCCAACTTCAAACAAAGGAAGGGATGATAGAAACCAAACAATTACTGAATATCAAAGTTGTATTATTTAGAGTATTATGCAGTAAAAAGATGATTGAGCTGAAAGCAATACAGCCACAGGAAAACCCCAGATTCCTAGACTCCTTCAGAGGATTATTCTCCTCCTAACCAACTCACAACCTCCTACTCCAGTACCCCACACTCTCCCTACTCTCTCTTATAACAGAATTCCCCCATCCTTGGATTCTTGGCACGTCATTCCCCATCCTAACTAACTTCTCCCTATTTCTTTCTTCTTACATACACATTCCATATTTTGGGCCTATCTATTCCTTCTATAATTTTTCCTTGTTACCATTAACAAGCCCATGTGCACTTCCCATGATCCTTATTAGGAGTCCTATGATTACTCCCTTCTGCAACAGCAGCCTTGTCCTCAAGGCTGAAAGAAGGAAATTGACTCTGCAGTAGCACCTCACCTTCCCAAGTTGTCTCTTTCTCTGTTCTTCCCTTCCATTCCACCAATCATTGTTTGATGATGTTACCGCCCTTCGGAATCTCCTTGGCTGCTAGCGCTGCCTCCGGCTCTTCCTTATCTTCATCCTCAAGAGTCAACTTTGTTGGTAAAGTCGGTTCTATTGTCTGGTTTTCAATAGCCTTTTTCAGTTGGGAAATGTGAAAAACTGGATGTTCTTTGGTTGATTCTGGCAACTGCACCTTATAAAACACTTCTCCAATTTCTGCCCAAGGTTCCCAATATGACCAATTCTTGGGTTGTTTCGACACAAAACATTGTAAATAAGCTTCTAAACATCGGCTTACCACTTCCGTTTGACCATCGGTCTCAGGATGATAACAAGAACTCATTTTCAGAGTTGTTCCCTGTAATCGAAATAATTCAATTTCCTTAGCAAGCAATTCAGCAATTTTCCTTGTAGTGTAAGGATGTTTCAGCAAAATAAAGTGGCCATATTTAGACAATCATCCACCACTACAAGTATAGCTTGAAACTCTTTCGAATTTGGTAAACTTGTAATGAAGTCTAAAGAAATATCTTCCCAAATTCTATCTGGAATAGGCAAGGGCTGAAGTAATCTTGTTGGAGACATTGCTTCATATTTTTTTAGTTTCTGACCTCGTAGTTCTAGATATTTGTCTTGCCAAAGGAAACTTAGAGTCATCTCTTCCCAATCAAAAGTAACCTTCCCAAATCTTCGCAACCAAAAAACTCCCAAAATCGTGTCTATGTCTTCCAACTCCAACACATATGGCTCCACCGTAGTAGAGAATTCTCCTAGTTGAACGTCCAACTTCTCACATTTTCCCGTAGTAGAGACCCTGTGCCGATATCCTAGATGCACCCCAATCATTTTTCTTTTGTCCACTTTCAACTCCAGAGCAGCCACTACATGAGGAGAGATGAAATTGTGACTAGCCCCACTATCAATCAGCACTCCCAGGGTTACTCCATTGAGACGACCTTTTATGTGCAGAGTTGAAGGGCGATTCCGACCATCCCACGACACTTCAACCTCTGCAAACAGCTCCATAGAACCACACTCCAAGGTACGGTCATCTTCCTCTTCTCGCATCCCCCTCTCGATCACCTCCCCCGCTTCGTTTACTGTTTCGTCGTCAGCTAACACCACTATTCTCAGTTGCCGCTCCGTACATCGATGCAAGGGGTGGTATTTTTCACCGCATCTAAAACAAAGCCCCTGAGCTTTCCTGGTCATCAATTCAGAATATGGCAAATCCTCCGTGCCGCGATTCCGATCGGTAGTCGAAGAACGATCACCGGAAATGCGACTGCTTGTGTCACCGAACGTGACTCGTGAGGGCTTGAACTCCCTACCAATAAGGGTTTAGTTTGTGTGCTCTGGGTTGGACCTAAACCCACTCCTAATCTCCCTAAATTTGGGCCTTGACCCGACCCGGATCCAAACTTCTCTCCTAGACCCGTACCCCAATCTCGATTGCTTTTCCAACCCCGTACTCCTCCTCCATGCTGAAATCCCTCTCCTAGCAATTTTGCTTCCACATCTCAAGCTAGGCGCATGGCTTGGAGACGATTCACAAGGTTGAAGGTGCGAACCCTTCGCCGAATCTCCGATCGCAATCCTCCAATAAAATAGCCCAGATATTGCTCCTCTGGTAAACGAGATACGTGAGACGATATATTCTCAAACTCTGCCAGGTACTCATCTACGCTACCCGTCTGCGACAAGTCTTTCAACTCCTCGAAAGGATTATCGCTAGTACGACCACCATAACTATCGATCAACTCCCTTTTTAACTTGGTCCATGACAACCCCACCTTTGCTTCTTGTAGAAGATTGAACCAATGAATGGTTGCACCTTCCATACTCAACTTGGCCAATCAGACCTTCACCTCTTTTGTATAGCCTTACACTTCAAAATATGTCTCTGCCCTCATAATCCATCCAACAGGGTCAATACCATCAAATGATGGCAATTCCACCTTCTTAGCTGCCATCCTATACTCTGCACCTGAATCCATATATGAAAATGGAGATTCTCGACGATCTCCCACTTGCTCGTTACGCAACTTAGTAAACTCTTCCAACATTAATTGGCGAAATTCCCCCAACGTCTCACGTACTGACACTTCCATCGCTAACAATCTTTCCTAAATGCTTCAACTATCAGACATTTTGGGTGGCATGGACAGCAATGCTAGCTGTTCTCGGTATTCGGCAGGTCGGACTAATGATAGAAACCAAACAATTACTGAATATCAAAGTTGTATTATTTAAAGTATTATGCAGTAAAAAGATGATTGAGATGAAAGCTCTATAGCCACATGGAAAACCCCAGAGTCGTAGACTCCTCCAGAGGATTATTCTCCTCCTAACCAACTCAACCTCCTACTCCAGTACCCCCACACTCTCCCTACTATCTCTTATAACAGTATTCCCCCCATCCTAACTAACTTCTCCCTATTTCTTTTCCTAACCCCACTTTCTTTCTTCTTACATCCACATTCCATATTTTGAGCCTATCTATTCCTTCTATAATTTTTCCTTGCTGAGTAACAAGCCCATGTGCACTTCCCATGATCCTTATTAGGAGTCCTATCAGGCTTGTTGCAGAACCTGATCTAACTTGTTATAGTGTCTGAATTGCAGGTGCAGCAATGTTGGCTCCTATGGTTAATCCATATGACCCACACATGACTAAAGAGGAAACAAAAAGAACTTGGGAGAAGTGGCTGCCAAGGAGGAAAATGATGTATTCTTTGGCTCGTAGATTTCCAAAACTTCTCCCTTTTTTCTATAGAAAAAGCTTCTTGCCTGAAGAGCATGACGAGATTGATAAGTTGCTATCTTTCACAAAGGGAAAGAAGGCAAGTGCGTCATAAGTAATCATAACTTTAACTTTGTAACAAGCAAGCATAATTACTCTCAAATGTTTCATTGTTCATCAGTATGAACTGACTTTTCTGTAATAATCTGCTTGAAACAAATAAAGTTAATTGTTCAACGATCAATAAATTGATTGTGAATATAATCGATTTCACGTGTGCAGGATAAACTTGTGATTGAAGAACCAGAATTTGAGCAATTTTGGATAAGAGATGTGGAGGAGTCGGTTCGTCAGGGAAACATACGCCCATTTATAGAAGAAGTTGTTCTGCAGGTATCAAATTGGGGTTTTGACCTTAAAGAACTTCATGTGCAAAAAAAGTGTCAAGCAAAAGGCTTACTTCTTTGGTTGAAATCCATGTACAGTCAGGTGGACTGTGAATTAGCAGGATTTCTTGGCCTTACACACATATGGCAGGTTTGAATTTCTAACACATTGTTCTTTGAATACTACAATTTTTGTATCAGTATTTATGATATTTTGTACATTTTCATTCATGTGCAACTGAAATTCTGCATGCTAAGTTGTAGGAAGGAATGTATAGAGAGATGGCCCGATAGGAAGTGGATAGTTTATGAAAGAAAGAGGAAAGGAAATAAAGCGGGGGAGAAGTGCTAGGTAGTTATACCTACTTTAAAGCTCCTAGAAAAGAGCTGATGTATTCTGTTTTGGACACTTTTTGGAATTGTTAGTGTAAAGACAGGATCACGTTTATCCTGTGGAGGGGAGAGTATTATTATCCTGTGGAGGGGAGAGTATTATTAGGCTCTCTGGGAGGTTGAGTGTAGAGATACGATATTGAAATACAGAAAATATACAGTTTATACTTACTTTTCTGTGTGTTTGCGTTCGATTGTGTGTTTTAGATAGGGTTTCCCGTTCAGTAACCTATCATGGCCGATGATTTTAGATTATTAGGAATTAGGTTTTAAGTCTTACTCGTTTTTACAAAACCGATCTAAACCTCGTTTAGAATACTGAGTTTGAGCAATACAATATAAATAAAAAAAAATGGTAATAAAACACCCTCTTCCACAAAGTAGTTAAAAAAAGTAGTGAGAATTTTTTGTAAATTAATTTATGCACACTCAAAATTTTAGTTTTTAAAGAAGTTAATTTTTTTTTATATTTATCAGTTTGATGTTGTAATCACTTATAACTTGTTCTTACATGTAAATCTTTGGTTTCCCTTTTGAATACTCAACAGGGACTGGATGATAGGGTGGTCCCACCATCAATGACGGAATACATAGAACGGGTTTTGCCAGAAGCTGCCATCTATAAACTTCCAAACGAAGCTCACTTCTCCTATTTCTATTTCTGTGATCAGTGCCACAGGCAGATCTTCTCCACTCTCTTTGGAACTCCTCAGGGTCCAGTTCAACGACAACTGGAAACTGCATTCGAGGAAGCTAAGGAAGAAACTGTTTTACCTTCTTAACTTTTTCTAGTGTTACATTACTCTTAACTGCTGATATGCACGTCTTAGGTTGTATGTAAATACCACAGGCAGCTCCACATCTCTATGGAGCTAGAAAGAAGAAAATGTTCGTTATAAATGCTCGGAATTTTGAACCATGAGAGTTTTTGGAGACATAGGTACACCAAGAATATCACACAATGTTTCTCCTTACTTTAAGCAAATTGAAGTAGAATTTGTCTAATGGGTTCTGGACGGTTCCACTTGTAATCATTTTTAAAAAACTTACATAATTATTCCAAGTTTTTATTCATATTTTCAAAGAAGCTAAACCCACTAAATTATTGATCTACATTCCTACCTTTTCAAGCAAATAATCTTCGTCTATTTCTTACTTCCTTTTAGTTGGGTAAAAAATGGAGGATTTCTATCGGGAATTTTGTCCTTAGGGGTGAACCATTCGTCTTGAGAGTCCCTGTTTCAGTTAAACATGTCGTTATCCACTAATTATGTGGGTAGTGGTAGCATGCATTGTGAACTCATCATTATTTAAATGTAACTTCTTTTAGATTTTTCGTTCATTCTTTATAATTTAAATCGAGTATCTTTTCAAACTTACGCAATTGACATTTCTTTTTAATATCAACTTTCATTGAGATAAAACTATTCAAGGTTGTTTTCAATACAATTACAATATAGAAAAGGATAATTGTAGTATGAGTATCTCTTCATTTTTTGTGTGATTTTTGTTCTATTTGTCTAGTATGTCCTTAAATTGAAAATCTCTTAACCAATTACAACTCCGTCAATAAAAAAATACCAATCAATAAACAGTATAAAAAAAGCATTTATCCCTTAAAAAGTTATCTAGATANGTGGAGGGGAGAGTATTATTATCCTGTGGAGGGGAGAGTATTATTAGGCTCTCTGGGAGGTTGAGTGTAGAGATACGATATTGAAATACAGAAAATATACAGTTTATACTTACTTTTCTGTGTGTTTGCGTTCGATTGTGTGTTTTAGATAGGGTTTCCCGTTCAGTAACCTATCATGGCCGATGATTTTAGATTATTAGGAATTAGGTTTTAAGTCTTACTCGTTTTTACAAAACCGATCTAAACCTCGTTTAGAATACTGAGTTTGAGCAATACAATATAAATAAAAAAAAATGGTAATAAAACACCCTCTTCCACAAAGTAGTTAAAAAAAGTAGTGAGAATTTTTTGTAAATTAATTTATGCACACTCAAAATTTTAGTTTTTAAAGAAGTTAATTTTTTTTTATATTTATCAGTTTGATGTTGTAATCACTTATAACTTGTTCTTACATGTAAATCTTTGGTTTCCCTTTTGAATACTCAACAGGGACTGGATGATAGGGTGGTCCCACCATCAATGACGGAATACATAGAACGGGTTTTGCCAGAAGCTGCCATCTATAAACTTCCAAACGAAGCTCACTTCTCCTATTTCTATTTCTGTGATCAGTGCCACAGGCAGATCTTCTCCACTCTCTTTGGAACTCCTCAGGGTCCAGTTCAACGACAACTGGAAACTGCATTCGAGGAAGCTAAGGAAGAAACTGTTTTACCTTCTTAACTTTTTCTAGTGTTACATTACTCTTAACTGCTGATATGCACGTCTTAGGTTGTATGTAAATACCACAGGCAGCTCCACATCTCTATGGAGCTAGAAAGAAGAAAATGTTCGTTATAAATGCTCGGAATTTTGAACCATGAGAGTTTTTGGAGACATAGGTACACCAAGAATATCACACAATGTTTCTCCTTACTTTAAGCAAATTGAAGTAGAATTTGTCTAATGGGTTCTGGACGGTTCCACTTGTAATCATTTTTAAAAAACTTACATAATTATTCCAAGTTTTTATTCATATTTTCAAAGAAGCTAAACCCACTAAATTATTGATCTACATTCCTACCTTTTCAAGCAAATAATCTTCGTCTATTTCTTACTTCCTTTTAGTTGGGTAAAAAATGGAGGATTTCTATCGGGAATTTTGTCCTTAGGGGTGAACCATTCGTCTTGAGAGTCCCTGTTTCAGTTAAACATGTCGTTATCCACTAATTATGTGGGTAGTGGTAGCATGCATTGTGAACTCATCATTATTTAAATGTAACTTCTTTTAGATTTTTCGTTCATTCTTTATAATTTAAATCGAGTATCTTTTCAAACTTACGCAATTGACATTTCTTTTTAATATCAACTTTCATTGAGATAAAACTATTCAAGGTTGTTTTCAATACAATTACAATATAGAAAAGGATAATTGTAGTATGAGTATCTCTTCATTTTTTGTGTGATTTTTGTTCTATTTGTCTAGTATGTCCTTAAATTGAAAATCTCTTAACCAATCACAACTCCGTCAATAAAAAAATACCAATCAATAAACAGTATAAAAAAAGCATTTATCCCTTAAAAAGTTATCTAGATATCAATTTTTAAATTATTATTATATAAGTCAAGGTAATTCAATTATGATTGTTTATGATTTTAAAATTAGAAATTTGTGTTAAATTCTTAAAATAGTAAATGGGCAACGTTTATCCCTTCTATATTTTCTGCGAGGAATGTGCAAGTTAAAATTCGATTATATACTGAAATGTGTAAATGGAAACCATGTTCCTATGCGTGGGTTGATTAATTAATTTTATAAAATTACATTATGCTAACTTTTTGACAGATGAAATTGTCTTTTAGTTTGAGACAGTCTTATAATTCTTAAAATTAATTAACAATAGTGTAATTTATTAATGTGTTTCAACTAAAAGAACAAATGGTTGTAAATGCTTGTTGGTTTGTTTACGTTAAAACAGTTCTTTTATAGAAAGATTTTATTAAAAAAACTATAATTACAATGTTCTTAAAAGTACTATAACTAAAAAAAGGCGAGGTTTCGACAGAGTTTAATGACTATAAATTATGTAAAATTGCCAGACCAATAAAAGTTTCATAAACTTTCAAAATAGTTATTTTGAAAGTTAATAAATTTATTGAAGTCATTGGCATTCTATTTGTCTTAACCATTAAATATTTGTAGGTTTTATAAAAAGAATATATGAATGATATGTTAAATTATTATATATGTAATGATTGTTTTTAGAATTAAGTTGTTTTTGGAATTTAAGTTTGAGATATAAAATTGATAGGTTTCTTTTTAAGCTAAATTTGCTTCAAGCAAAAAGATGAAACTGTGATTGTTCTCGGTTTTGGAAGTTTAAGAGGTGGAAGGGAGATTATTGATGATGTTCTTAGAGAGGTTGGACCAAATCTAAAGAAATGTGGTTAGAAGGACCTCATAGGATATTCTAGCCATGAATTATAGACAAATTAAAAACATTTCATTACAAATCTCAAAGTAGATTTACATGAAGAAAAATATCTCTATTTATAGATAAAGGTGTTTCCAAAGTAGATTAAAATCCTAAAATGTTATCTTGCATCAAATCCTAAAAATCCTATCTTAGTGAAAGAGAGATTGACATATGACACTTTAACTTTTAGAAAACCTCTCGACTCTTGTAGTGTTATGTGAAAAAACACTTTAGCAAAAGTTTATCCACTTCGGAAAAGACAATGACCATTATTTTTTAAGAAAACTCTTCACTGAGCTTATCATATGGAAAGTCACTTTAGCAAAAGTTTTCAAAAGAAAAATGACACATGGTCACTACTTGTGTAAGAAAACTCTTCATTAAAATCTTGCCATATAGTCGCCATGTCTCATGTGGGACACCCTTTACCAAGATAGGGTTACAAAATTAATCACCAAAGATTAGCTTAAGCTAGGTGAAAATATTGTCCTACATTGTACAAAAATCCTAAATTACTTAACCTTTAATACAATGTCTAAAAGATAGCCTACACTACTTGACCTTTAATACAAAGTGTAGAAATACTTCATGATGGCTTAAGTAAATAAGAGTTTAGCTTCACCTTGCATAAATAATTCTAACTCTTCTTGAATTTGCTTAGCCGTGTTTATTGTGATTGAACCCTTCATCTTCATCTTGCTACAAATCTCCTATAAAAGGGTTAAATCACCAACATTGAAAGTTGTTACCAATAAGGAGTATTGGTAAAACCTGAAGATATGTTTTAATGATGCTGCAACTTATAGATTTTGGATTTAGTAGGAAAATAGTTAAAAAAAGCAACTTGTAGATTTTGAATGTAGTAGGAAAATGTTAAACATTGTAATTTTTACTAGTATAATCGATTATGGTTAAGCAATAATCGATTATCACAAGTCATACTTGAATAATCAATTATCACTTCATATAATCGATTATCACATTTTTGAAAACCTGTAACGGACTTGAATAATCGATTATCACTTACAATAATCGATTATTCATGGCAGTTGGGAGCTGACCTTTGGCACTCAGTGTACTTGGCTATATATTTTGACTTGGAGAAATCAGAAGATAACGTTTTTTGAACTGAAAAAGCTTGGAACACTGTGTGTCAGAGGAACGTTCTTAGAGAGCTTTTTGTTCATTGTTCCCTTGCTTGGTCTTGTGAAAGGAGAGGCTCGCGTATCGTGTGTCGATAGTCGGAGTAGACTCTCTTCAAGTTAGCAAGGTACTCTGCCTGGTCTTGTGAAAGGAGAAGCTTGTGAATCGTTGGTCGATTGCCGGAGCGGTTCTCTTGAAGTTGGTAGAGTGGTTCTTTTCGTTTTATTCCTGTTCATTATCTTGTAATCTGTACAACTATATTTTTAGTGAAAAAGGTTAATCACTATTTATAGTGATTAACGACTGGACGTAGAATCTTTTGATTCGAACCAGGATAAAAATTNCAGGTGGACTGTGAATTAGCAGGATTTCTTGGCCTTACACACATATGGCAGGTTTGAATTTCTAACACATTGTTCTTTGAATACTACAATTTTTGTATCAGTATTTATGATATTTTGTACATTTTCATTCATGTGCAACTGAAATTCTGCATGCTAAGTTGTAGGAAGGAATGTATAGAGAGATGGCCCGATAGGAAGTGGATAGTTTATGAAAGAAAGAGGAAAGGAAATAAAGCGGGGGAGAAGTGCTAGGTAGTTATACCTACTTTAAAGCTCCTAGAAAAGAGCTGATGTATTCTGTTTTGGACACTTTTTGGAATTGTTAGTGTAAAGACAGGATCACGTTTATCCTGTGGAGGGGAGAGTATTATTATCCTGTGGAGGGGAGAGTATTATTAGGCTCTCTGGGAGGTTGAGTGTAGAGATACGATATTGAAATACAGAAAATATACAGTTTATACTTACTTTTCTGTGTGTTTGCGTTCGATTGTGTGTTTTAGATAGGGTTTCCCGTTCAGTAACCTATCATGGCCGATGATTTTAGATTATTAGGAATTAGGTTTTAAGTCTTACTCGTTTTTACAAAACCGATCTAAACCTCGTTTAGAATACTGAGTTTGAGCAATACAATATAAATAAAAAAAAATGGTAATAAAACACCCTCTTCCACAAAGTAGTTAAAAAAAGTAGTGAGAATTTTTTGTAAATTAATTTATGCACACTCAAAATTTTAGTTTTTAAAGAAGTTAATTTTTTTTTTTATTTATCAGTTTGATGTTGTAATCACTTATAACTTGTTCTTACATGTAAATCTTTGGTTTCCCTTTTGAATACTCAACAGGGACTGGATGATAGGGTGGTCCCACCATCAATGACGGAATACATAGAACGGGTTTTGCCAGAAGCTGCCATCTATAAACTTCCAAACGAAGCTCACTTCTCCTATTTCTATTTCTGTGATCAGTGCCACAGGCAGATCTTCTCCACTCTCTTTGGAACTCCTCAGGGTCCAGTTCAACGACAACTGGAAACTGCATTCGAGGAAGCTAAGGAAGAAACTGTTTTACCTTCTTAACTTTTTCTAGTGTTACATTACTCTTAACTGCTGATATGCACGTCTTAGGTTGTATGTAAATACCACAGGCAGCTCCACATCTCTATGGAGCTAGAAAGAAGAAAATGTTCGTTATAAATGCTCGGAATTTTGAACCATGAGAGTTTTTGGAGACATAGGTACACCAAGAATATCACACAATGTTTCTCCTTTCTTTAAGCAAATTGAAGTAGAATTTGTCTAATGGGTTCTGGACGGTTCCACTTGTAATCATTTTTAAAAAACTTACATAATTATTCCAAGTTTTTATTCATATTTTCAAAGAAGCTAAACCCACTAAATTATTGATCTACATTCCTACCTTTTCAAGCAAATAATCTTCGTCTATTTCTTACTTCCTTTTAGTTGGGTAAAAAATGGAGGATTTCTATCGGGAATTTTGTCCTTAGGGGTGAACCATTCGTCTTGAGAGTCCCTGTTTCAGTTAAACATGTCGTTATCCACTAATTATGTGGGTAGTGGTAGCATGCATTGTGAACTCATCATTATTTAAATGTAACTTCTTTTAGATTTTTCGTTCATTCTTTATAATTTAAATCGAGTATCTTTTCAAACTTACGCAATTGACATTTCTTTTTAATATCAACTTTCATTGAGATAAAACTATTCAAGGTTGTTTTCAATACAATTACAATATAGAAAAGGATAATTGTAGTATGAGTATCTCTTCATTTTTTGTGTGATTTTTGTTCTATTTGTCTAGTATGTCCTTAAATTGAAAATCTCTTAACCAATTACAACTCCGTCAATAAAAAAATACCAATCAATAAACAGTATAAAAAAAGCATTTATCCCTTAAAAAGTTATCTAGATATCAATTTTTAAATTATTATTATATAAGTCAAGGTAATTCAATTATGATTGTTTATGATTTTAAAATTAGAAATTTGTGTTAAATTCTTAAAATAGTAAATGGGCAACGTTTATCCCTTCTATATTTTCTGCGAGGAATGTGCAAGTTAAAATTCGATTATATACTGAAATGTGTAAATGGAAACCATGTTCCTATGCGTGGGTTGATTAATTAATTTTATAAAATTACATTATGCTAACTTTTTGACAGATGAAATTGTCTTTTAGTTTGAGACAGTCTTATAATTCTTAAAATTCATTAACAATAGTGTAATTTATTAATGTGTTTCAACTAAAAGAACAAATGGTTGTAAATGCTTGTTGGTTTGTTTACGTTAAAACAGTTCTTTTATAGAAAGATTTTATTAAAAAAACTATAATTACAATGTTCTTAAAAGTACTATAACTAAAAAAAGGCGAGGTTTCGACAGAGTTTAATGACTATAAATTATGTAAAATTGCCAGACCAATAAAAGTTTCATAAACTTTCAAAATAGTTATTTTGAAAGTTAATAAATTTATTGAAGTCATTGGCATTCTATTTGTCTTAACCATTAAATATTTGTAGGTTTTATAAAAAGAATATATGAATGATATGTTAAATTATTATATATGTAATGATTGTTTTTAGAATTAAGTTGTTTTTGGAATTTAAGTTTGAGATATAAAATTGATAGGTTTCTTTTTAAGCTAAATTTGCTTCAAGCAAAAAGATGAAACTGTGATTGTTCTCGGTTTTGGAAGTTTAAGAGGTGGAAGGGAGATTATTGATGATGTTCTTAGAGAGGTTGGACCAAATCTAGAGAAATGTGGTTAGAAGGACCTCATAGGATATTCTAGCCATGAATTATAGACAAATTAAAAACATTTCATTACAAATCTCAAAGTAGATTTACATGAAGAAAAATATCTCTATTTATAGATAAAGGTGTTTCCAAAGTAGATTAAAATCCTAAAATGTTATCTTGCATCAAATCCTAAAAATCCTATCTTAGTGAAAGAGAGATTGACATATGACACTTTAACTTTTAGAAAACCTCTCGACTCTTGTAGTGTTATGTGAAAAATCACTTTAGCAAAAGTTTATCCACTTCGGAAAAGACAATGACCATTATTTTTTAAGAAAACTCTTCACTGAGCTTATCATATGGAAAGTCACTTTAGCAAAAGTTTTCAAAAGAAAAATGACACATGGTCACTACTTGTGTAAGAAAACTCTTCATTAAAATCTTGCCATATAGTCGCCATGTCTCATGTGGGACACCCTTTACCAAGTTAGGGTTACAAAATTAATCACCAAAGATTAGCTTAAGCTAGGTGAAAATATTGTCCTACATTGTACAAAAATCCTAAATTACTTAACCTTTAATACAATGTCTAAAAGATAGCCTACACTACTTGACCTTTAATACAAAGTGTAGAAATACTTCATGATGGCTTAAGTAAATAAGAGTTTAGCTTCACCTTGCATAAATAATTCTAACTCTTCTTGAATTTGCTTAGCCGTGTTTATTGTGATTGAACCCTTCATCTTCATCTTGCTACAAATCTCCTATAAAAGGGTTAAATCACCAACATTGAAAGTTGTTACCAATAAGGAGTATTGGTAAAACCTGAAGATATGTTTTAATGATGCTGCAACTTATAGATTTTGGATTTAGTAGGAAAATAGTTAAAAAAAGCAACTTGTAGATTTTGAATGTAGTAGGAAAATGTTAAACATTGTAATTTTTACTAGTATAATCGATTATGGTTAAGCAATAATCGATTATCACAAGTCATACTTGAATAATCAATTATCACTTCATATAATCGATTATCACATTTTTGAAAACCTGTAACGGACTTGAATAATCGATTATCACTTACAATAATCGATTATTCATGGCAGTTGGGAGCTGACCTTTGGCACTCAGTGTACTTGGCTATATATTTTGACTTGGAGAAATCAGAAGATAACGTTTTTTGAACTGAAAAAGCTTGGAACACTGTGTGTCAGAGGAACGTTCTTAGAGAGCTTTTTGTTCATTGTTCCCTTGCTTGGTCTTGTGAAAGGAGAGGCTCGCGTATCGTGTGTCGATAGTCGGAGTAGACTCTCTTCAAGTTAGCAAGGTACTCTGCCTGGTCTTGTGAAAGGAGAAGCTTGTGAATCGTTGGTCGATTGCCGGAGCGGTTCTCTTGAAGTTGGTAGAGTGGTTCTTTTCGTTTTATTCCTGTTCATTATCTTGTAATCTGTACAACTATATTTTTAGTGAAAAAGGTTAATCACTATTTATAGTGATTAACGACTGGACATAGAATCTTTTGATTCGAACCAGGATAAAAATTTTGTGTTGATTTTCTTATTCCCTACACTCATATTATTTTACGTATATCAACTGTTGGTTAATTTTCTGAAAGAAAATTATTTTTACTAAAAGGACCAAATTAATTTTAATTGTGATCGAACACGCTTTCCGCTCTCTGAGTTTTAATTCCGCTGCGCTATACTCTTCGAAAAATACCCCCTCCGATACCAACAAAAGTAACACTCCCATCATACTCACATGGTAGCTCTAGCCTATATGCATTATTGTTAATCTTTTGAATCACTTAAAAGGTCCATCACCACGAGAATTGAATTTGGACTTCCTTTTCTTTTTAAATCTATCTTTGCTCAAATAGAATCAAACCCAATCTCCTTCTTCAAAGATCACTTTCCTATTGCCTTTGTTATTATGCTTAGCATATATCTCAGATTGGTGTTGTATTTCTGACTTTACCCACTCATGCATTTTCTTCACAAATATCTAGATACTCGTTTCCTTATGAGTGAAATCATAAAAATTTAAGAGAGGTATAAATCTAAAAAAGTGAGAAGATTAAAGCAATCCACAACCACAAAAGGAGACATTTTGGTGGTCTTGTGAACTATCCTATTGTATGCAAACTCAATTTGAGGAAGGTACTCATCCCAAGATTTGCAGTTTCCTTTCATATGAAACCAATAGAATTTCTCTTAAAGAATGTTTACAATTCCAAAATAATCCATGAGACTCCTTAACGAGGAGTTTTCTATGGAAAACTTGAAACACATACAACTTATCTCCTTAAACAAATACCCCTTGGACACATGATAACTTTCTTAGCCTTCTTTTGACAATTTAAAAACATAAACAATAATAAAATCATTTTGTTCATACAACTCTCCCATATAATCAAAACCAAGAATTTGTGTTCCAAGTTTTGAAAAAAGGTTACGCTTTTTAGAGAACATCGGCCACACCATTAGTTTTTCAATAACACCTCTCCTGATATACCTCATCTAAAATTTATATTTAGACCATGTCACAATTTTAATTGTAATTCTAATGTTTATTCACTTGATCTAATGTTTATTCACTTGAAAGACGAAAATGTATTAGAAAAGCTGAACTATGAAACTAAAATTTGTTGTCCTGAATACAACATTCATTTACACTAGTCTGAAACATCTGATCCCCGAACATTCTGTAATTGATAGAATCGATTATATTGTGCCAAACATCACAACAAAGTGGTATGAACTCAAATATAAAGAAAGATAACTGGTAGTAGAATGAGGAAGTAAAAATCGCTTTTATTGACAACAATCTTCACTTCAATAGCACAAGCCATGTTAGATTGGAGCCATATCATCTAGATATATGCGTAACCATGTTTAGTTTCCCGTTTTCTCCCTATCGAATTGGTAATGCAATAAGTAATTGGACGATGGCCAAAAAAATTGTAATTGAAATCTAGTGAGAATCGCGTAGTGTGAAAATAATGGAAAGAAAGGCTTCCTAGGGGCTTCAAAATGCTGAGCCACCACCCCTGGTCTTTCCAAGTAACATATCTTTTGCTTCATTAATTTTGGATGCAAGATAATGGCTGCCACCTGCGTCTGGATGGTTTGCAACCATCACCCTCCTATGTGCTTCTTTAATCTTATCTGTTGGAGTGCGCTCTCTGAAACAAATATGACGATTGAAAATCGGCATGAGAAGAACTATGTCTGCCAAAAAAGTTGTCAAGACTACAAACAAAAATTCAATATTAACTAATGAAATTCCTATAAAATACACAAAAGATAACAAAAGCCAGCACAATTCATACAGTCTACACATTTAAGATCAGGGCAAAATGGAAAACAAAAAGGAAGCCAACTCTGAACTTTCAATTGGAGAACTAAATTCGTTTTTCTTTCTTTTTTCAATTGGAAACAGAACTTGATATGCCTTGTTTCTCAAAACCAATGATTTATATCACACACATTATTGCACCAAAATAACAAGATATAATAATATTCACAATTAACAACAGATAGTTATAATATGAAACAATGAATGTCAAGTCAATAGAAACCGGAGAAATACTGTTCTAACTATGATGGATGATACCATTTCTCTCAAGAGTAATGGGAACATTGGAATGACGTAAAGAGAAAAATAGTAGACAGGTGGCAACTGTTGTCTGGGACCTTCTATTATCACATACTTTGAGATATCAACCAAAACTCAAACACTGATTACGACAGGACCTGTGTCATATGATTTTACCATGAAGAGACTTAACCTTTATTACATGTTGACGAACAGGATTGTAAAGACATCACAAGAAATATCACTATCCCAATTCAAGTAATATCATAAACAAGCCCCGAAAGGAAAAGGTCATAATAAACACCGTTAAAACCATTGTCACAAACAGAATTTTACATTTTAGTAGGCCATTTTCTCCATTTCCAGCGTCTTAACAAATTCAATCAACACATTAGAATCTTCAAACAGAAATGAATTACCTAACACCCAGTATAAGAGCTGCTTCCCTCCTAGTCATGGTAGCCTGAAAACCACCTTCATAAAATCTACGCATCCTAGGCGGTCTAGCCTTGAATGCCTGCCAAGCCACGATACCATATCTACCTACATAAGCCGCAGCTGCCACTGCAAGCCCAGCCACCAATGGTGAAGTCTGTTCAAAAATTTCAGTTTCAGTACCACAACCCAAAGGCAATATAAAAATCAACAAACTTATATATATATATATATATATATATATATATAT